CCCCAAAACCCCAAAACCCCAAAACCCCAAAACCCCAAAACCCCTCCTTCCAAATCCGTACTGAACTAACAACTGCCCTTAATTTAATATTTCTTAATCACTGCTTGTATTACTCATATTCTTCCTTGTGGTCTTCTTCAAAGACCATGCACTCTTCGTTTGGGGCTACACACAAATTAGACATTCGAGTTCCACTGGACTCAGAACAGAATTTAGGGAATGCAGAAGTGGACTTATGGGTAGAAATAGAGGGTTTAAAGATTATAGGGGGACTTACTGGGGTCATTATTAGGAGATTCTGGTTTTATTAAATACCTTTTTCCTTTAATTTCGATAACTTTGTACTCCTTGTCTTCAAAATCTGGGTCAAACTTGACCTGATTGTCTGAGAGAAGGTTAGGATGGTGGGAAAGACCAGAAGAAGAAGGGTTATGAGTGTTGTAGAAATTAGAATCTCAGGAAATTTTATCGAAGCAGCTTAATTACACTTTGCTAAGGAATTGATATATTTTTGAATTTTTAGCAATTTTACTTACTTTTGCTCATGTTTTGAGTCAAGAATTCCGGAACTTTGGACTCAGTTCTGACTTTTACTGTAATAATTGTGCGGCCAACTTGAATTGTTTGATGAGTATCTTCTTTTATTTCAACATTTCCGCTCTCAAGGACTAGTGTGCCAAACTTGCTTTGGTAATCAACAATGTAGAATCCATCTTCCCTGTATTCTAAAGCAGCATGCCTCCGTGAGACTGAAATATCATTGATTCTCAGGTCAGAATCATGGCCTCTTCCCAACTGGAAAATTCTCTTATCTGATTTAATAACGACTGTGTGGATTGTACGAGAGGAGTTCTTTTCTGAGTTTAGCGATTCCAGTATTATGAAAGGGGTCTCATTATCTTTAGGGCGCTTTAAATCGACCAAATTCCATCTCTCTCCAAGATATTTGAAACAGTAAGGGTAGGGCATCTTACATAATTCGCATTCGAATTGTTTCCAATTCATAGTTGTGTGGGTATCCTCCCCTTTAACGGAGGCTTTTGAGATGATCCAAGCTTTTATTCATTGAAAATGAATAAACTTGATGCTTCCTTTACAATTTCAAGACCTGAATATTGGATTATCTTTGGTATGATCAGCAATCCATCAGAACCTGCATGCTGGGTTCTCTTCTTTCTCATCATCGTCGCATAGATCTTCTGTATCCTCAATATTTTTGATTTCATCGAAGCCTTGGTGAGGAGTTTCGGAATCTAATTCATTGAAGTAGTGGGTATCCGTACGAAATTCCTTCACCCGGAATTTCATCCTTCCAAGTTTAATAATGTCATGATCTTTGATTTTGTAACCTTCCTCTTTGAAGTTCCTGATGACCATCCAAAGCCTATCATTTGGCTGGTTAGTGTTGATAGGCTGCATTTCGTATTTTAGGTTATTGCTATTTCTTAATTTTGATCAGAATAGTCTCCCCTTGGTTATTGCTGGGAGTCTCTTCAGAAGAATCTCTGTAGGATACTTCTGCTCAATTTCTTATAATCATACCTTCCTTGTATAACTGCATGTCTTTTCATTTTAAATTCTGGGATTCATAGTCAAATAGACCGTAGGACTCTCGATTCCAAGTCATTGCTCTTAGTAAAATGCTTGAGTTTGAAATTGATAATTCTGGTATTGAGGATGCTAAAAATTAGCTTATTCTAGTTTGGACTTACCTTGCCCAAAGTCTAGGTGCCCCTCAGAGCTTGGCTGCTGAAATCTTTCATCCAATTGAGATGGGCTTTCGTCTTGGTTGTCTGGTTCATCGATTGGGTCTACAAAGTCTCTTCCGGGACCTTCCATGCTTGTCAAATTAATTCAATTATTTCTTATAATTAGGGGTTTTGGGGTTTTGGGGTTTTGGGGTTTTGGGGTTTTGGGG